TGGGACTCGGCGATACGCCTTGTCTTCTGCATCTTCCGCTTGACGAGATCCCGATTTATTCCCCTGTACTCGGTGCCGCTGTTGAGCATCTCCCAGACCCATTCTAGCATGACCCTGGCCGTGGCCACCCTTGCCTTCATGGACCCTATGCGGGCTGCCAGCTTTTGGTAGCGCGCCCCTATCCGGGCGTCGTGCCGGACGGCGACGAAGGCGGCCTCGACCATGGCGGTGCGCAGCCAGACGGAGCCGCGCTTTGTTATGCCGCCCGTCCTGACCGTCTCCCCGCTGTTGTGGTGCCTCGGCGACAGTCCGGCGTAGGAGACCAGCTTTTCTGCGCTGGCAAAGCGCCCGTGGTCGACGATCTCGGCCAGTATGGTTACCGCCGTAATGTAGCCTATCCCGGGGATGGTCATGATGAGCCGCGCCCGCGGGTCGTCCCGGGCGATCTCGGCTACCCTCTTTTCGTACCTGGCGATCCGCCCACGCAGGAAGACCAGCTTGGCCAGGTGGGTGTCCACCCCCAGACGGTCGGTCTCGCTCAGGTCCAGGTTCTGCAGCCACTCCAGTCCGCCGCCGGTAAACAGTCCGCCGCGGGGGCGCTTGTAGGGATACCTGGCAACGATCGCGTGGATGCGGTTTCTGGGCGCTACCGTGTCGCCCACCAGTCCAAGGCGGCTGCGGGTCAGCTCGCGCATGTCCCGCTGGGCGGCATTCACCACAAACGACTCCGGGATCATGTCCAGCCTGCACAGCTCGGCCAGCTTCTCCGAGTCGGCCTTGTCGTTCTTGTAGGCGGTCTGGGTGATTATCTTGAGGTGGTATGGGTGCGCCAGCAGGGTGTTGATGCCTGCGGCCTCCAGCGTGTCGTGCAGGACGATCCAGTAGTTGCCGGTGGATTCGCAGGCGGCCGTGGCCGGCAGGTACCCGTCACTGCGGAGCATCCCGGTGAACCCGTTTATTCCGGTGATGTCGTTGTCAAACGAGGTACGCTTCAGTACCTTCTTGGCATCTCCCTTGATCGTTGTAACGCATTTCTTTTTGTGAACGTCTATTCCAATGTAATACATTCTCTCACCTCCTTTGCAGTAAAGTGGACCCGACCAGCGGAAAACTCCCATTCACCGTCAAAGCGGTATTTCACTATCCGCATACCTTGAGTCAGTCTGAGTGACGCCCTCATACGTGGCAAGGTCAAATCGACTCTCAGGTCCAACAGGGCGGTTACTACGGCTGCTCTTATATCAGCAACACATAGTGTCTGAGTGAGAGGCTGGTCCCACTCAGGTATTTTTGGCCATTTCATGTAGATTTAGGCACAAATGATGACGCATGCGACAGAATACGAGGGTTTGACCCATGTCAAATTGAACTCTTCATGGGCATGATGGGGATGACCTAAACTCCCACAGGTGCTAGATCTGGCGCATCTGGGATTACTGGGACAGGCTACTAGATGCAAGAGCCGTACAGACAAGCTCCCAGTCATCTGCAAAGTGAAGGAGCCATGTTTGAGGACAAAGTTGTCGGGCACTGGCAGCCCAAGCGGACTCGGCTGTATGCGGTTTTAATGCTGCGGCTGCTTCAATGATCAGATCATAAACCCGATTCTTCATCTTAGGCTGCGAAATCATAAACCTTTGAAGATTATCGGGTATTTCTTTCCTAAAAGCGGTAACAAAGCTTTCGTGCTCTCTCATTGCCTTTTTGGCATGATCCAGTGAAAAAGCATATGGGAGAGGCAACCCCAATTCCCTGAACGCGTTCTCGTCGTACACCTTAGAATGGGCATAGTAGATCTCTCTTTGGGCATCTTCGCTCAAGTTCTCAAACCAACGTGATTCGCATTCGAGTGAGAGATTGTCAAAGATGATATGCAAGGCGATGTCGTTGTTTACGATATGGTACATGAGCCAGTCTTGACCCTTTCTTACTTTGTGGCCTTCTTTCAGCAATGTGGAGAGGCTTCGTATGGCATCATGCCAGAATTTTCTTTGCCGTCTAGCATATGCATAGTACTGGCCAGAGCAATCCGCTCATTTTGACGAAAAATGCTACTAGGCACTGACCACCATGTGACATTATTCTCCACGCCCTTCAATTTTTCTGAATTACAAGCTGGAACGGGCGACTGTCGTACGCTACTGGAGTGCAGAGTCGTGTATTTGTACAGGCAGGTTTGATTATGCTACAAGGTAGCCTTTGAGCCTGTTGCCCATCTCGCGCTCAAGGATTGCGGTTATTGCCGCTTTCAGCTCGTCGAGCGACCGGAAGAACCTGCCGGCAAGCCTCTTCTTCAGGTCCCTCCACACGGTCTCGACAGGGTTCAGCTGCGGGGTGTGCGGCGGGAGAAACTCCAGCTCGACGTCGCCTCCGGCGGACTCCACGTACTCCCTGACCGCCTTCGACTTGTGGTAGGAGGCGTTGTCAAGGACCATGAATAACCGCGGACGGTCCCTGCGGATCTCCTCCAGGAATTCCTGGAACGTCTCCAAGTTTGTCGACTCCACGATCTTTATTCGCAGCTCGTCTTGGGACATCGCGCCGAATATCCTGACAGACTCCCTTGAGAAGCTTGCCCTGACCTGCTCGCGCCCCCCGGTCGGCCTCCACCCGTAGGCGGGGTTCTGGGACCTTTGGATCGCGGCCTCGTCCTCGGCAAAGACGGTCATGCCGTCCGCGCGCCTCTGGGCCGCGCGCTCCCCGGCCTCCCTTTTGAACTCCTCCTGCCCCTCTTTGGAGACTGATCTGTACGGGACGTACCTGTCCTTTCTCCAAGAGAACCCGATCCTGCGCAGCCACCTGCGCAGCGTGCGCGCCCTGACGGTTACGCCAAACTCCTTCCGGATCATCTCGGTTACCATGTCCATCTGCCACGAGCCGGTCTCAAAGCCACACTTTTTCGGGCTCCTCTTGAGCCAGCGCCGCACGGTACGAATGATCTGGAGGGGGAGCCCGGCTCTTCGCCCCTTGGGCCTCGCGTTGAACCTGCCCTTCAGTCCGCGGTCGCGCATCCGCAGCAGCCAGTCGCGGATAGTCGAGTAGGCGGTTTTCAGATCCCTGGATATCCTGCGTATGCTGTGGCCTCTCTTCCTGTCTAGGCACGCCAGGAGCCTGAACTTTGCGCACTTGTCCTTCTCCTTTCGTGCCGCTTTTTCCAGCCTCTTCTCGCTGACGCCCGGCATGAACGCGGTGCCGGACTCCAGCCGCGCGCATCCGCCTTCTCGGGTGTTCTCACAATCGCTTTCTGGTTTCACAAAATGGCGTCAATCTCCCTCGATCAATATCTTTCGAATTTTGAATCGGCAGATCTGGCTTGAGGCGGTCAGTGTGGGTAGCGGGGCTGCAACATTACAGAAACTTGCAGTTTTTCCGGCCAAGTGATCGGATCATTGTGGCCGCTACTATGCATCGTCGGCAAATACCCTTTGGTCAAAGATCGTGGGGTACATGGACGGCGAGGAATATGCCGTTGTAATTTCCTTGATGCGGTCGCCACCGTTGCCTTTTCGAACGATCTTTTTAGGATAGACTGAAATTGTCCCGTCTCGATTTCGTAGTAGCAACTTCACATCGTTCTTCAATCTGCCTACAATGTGTGGATAGTACTCCTCAGTCCTGCGCACTTGTTTTTCGTTTTTGTCGGACATCCCCTTCCAGTCCTTTGCCGTAGGCTGGCGATCCAACAGCAAGTCAAGGTATTCGGGAATTATATGCCTGGTTAGCGACCATGCCCTTTTCTGGCGCTCTCTCCGGCACTTGGCTCTCGTGCCTTGTTAACGGAGCGCATGGGAGCAATCCCATGCTGGAATCTCGCGCCTTGGGACGACATTCCCTGCCGCCCTGTTGCCCAAATGGCAACTTGTATGCGGCATTGACGTCCGCGCTGTCTGCACACCCACGCTTGTCATTCGTGCATTTGAACTCCGCCTGCGCGGACTGTCTGTCGGATATGGGACTCCATGACGGTATTCCTTCAGTCAGCTCAATCAGCAGCGCAGGAGAACCAAGTGTGGGATGGATCGCAGGAACGTCAGAAAAAGGCCTGGTTGCTAATCAAGTATATGGTTCCCATTCCAGTCCTGGGCAGTCTATCTGGCTTGACATGTGCTCCTCGGGGCCAGTCCAGCGAGCGGCGCCCCTGTCTGTCAGCGCGATTATGCAGCCGCCGCCCCCGGCGCCGGTTATCTTGGAGCCGTAGGTGTGCCTGTCCGCTGACGATACCATGCGGCGGAGCGTATCGTTTGATGCCCCTATTCTGGCAAGGTTCCTCTGGTTCTCGCTCATGCACCGGCCCAGCTCCCTCAGGTCGCCTGCCTTGAGCGCGGGCATGATGGCGCCTGCCAGCGCCTCTTGGGCGCGCATCATACCTGCGAATGCCTCGGGGTTGTCCCTCTGGTACCTTGCCACCCTGTCCACTACGTCTGCCGTGGAGCGCTCCTGCCCCGAGTTTATGATCAGTACCGTGATGTCGCGGTTCGCCTCCACCCTCTTGATGCCGGCGCCGGTGCTGTACTCGACGGTTCCGCCCCGCGCGGACACGGCCGTGTCTATTCCAGATGCGCGGGGAAATATGGTCCTCTCGGAGTCCACTGCCACCTCGATGATGCGATCCGTGCCCATCCTTGGCCTGCCGGCCATCCCGGCATACATCCCGGATACCGCGGCGGCTGCCGCAACGCAGCATGCAGAGGACGAGCCGAGTCCCGCACCAGGGGGAATCTGCGAGGCTATGGAGATGCTGGCGCCGTACTCCGAGCCGTACTCCTCTCGCATCCTCTCTGCCATGTGGACAAAGGGCCTGATCTCCCGGCGCGCCTCGCCGTCTGCATGCCCGTGCTCCAGGGTACCGAACATGCCGGTCACCGTGGTCTTTTGCTCCTTCTGCTCCCCTGCTGATACCGTGACCCGCAGGTCTACCGCGGTGGCCACCGCCCGTCCGCCGTACACCACAAAGTGCTCCCCGAACAGGATCACCTTGCCCGGAGCTGACACTGCCACCCTCATACGAACACCACAGAACCGTACCCTACGACAGAGTCCATGTCTCCTGTGACATCACCGCTTGTGGCGTATTTTAGCAGCTCCCCCCTGGTGGCCCCCAGCTCCCGGGACGCGACCATGGTGGCGGCAACTGCGCCATACCCGCATGCGCTGACCTGCCGCTCCTCCAGTATGTCATAGAACCGGTGCACGTCAAGCTCCAGCACCGCCCCGATCAGCGCCATGTCCTGCTCGCGGGCGCGCCCCTCCGGCTCATAGTGCGTAAAGTCAGACGAGCCTATCACCATCATGCCGGCATCGTGCATCCGGGCCACCGCCATGCCGAGCCCGATGGCCGCCGCCTTAGTCTGGTCGATCATCGCAACGGGCAGTATCCTAAAGTCCGAGAACGCCTGCTGTATCATGGGGATCTGGACCTCGATGCTGTGCTCCCTAGAGTGGGAGAAGAAGTCGATCTCCACGTCCGATGTTCCTGCCAGGCGGCGCGCCGCCTGCGAGTCGACCTCGACGCCCCCCAGCGGGGTCTCCCAGAGGCAGTCCGCGGGAGCCGCCATGTTGCGGCCCACCCCCCAGTGGTTGGGGCCTATCACGACAAACGTGTTGTACCTGTTGCCGGACATGGCGTGAAACGAGTGGCACGCCACGGGCCCAGAGTATACGTATCCTGCATGGGGGCAGATCGCGCCGTATATCTTTCGTGGCTCTGCCGGGGGCATGCTGCCAGGACCGAGCCGGTGCAGGTATGACTCCTCGATAGCTCTTCTGAGACTGCTTGCGTCAGCGGGATAGAACGCCCCCGCTACCGCGGGTGTCCTTGTGCGCATTACTCGATTGCCTCTTCGGTGCTCTTGGTCTCAAAGTCGTCTATGTCGTACTTTATGGACTCGCCGGCCTTGAGATCGCCGCGATCCATCAGGATCTCCTGGGCCAAGAGCCAGTACACCGCCGCCAGCGCCTTGCGGCCCCGGTTGTTTGCGGGTATCACTAGGTCGATCTTTGAGGTGATGTTGTCGGTGTCTGACATCCCGATGATGGGGATTCCCGCGTTGGTGGCCTCGGTGATCGTCTGCCCGTCCACCGCCGGATCCGTTATCACCACCAGCTTGGGCTCGATATAGTACGGGAGTGACGGGTTGGTCAGCGTGCCGGGCATGAACCTGCCCAGCTTTGCCATTGCGCCTGTCACCTCGCAGAACTTTTCAATGGGCGTGGTCGCGTTTATCCTTCCGGAGCAGACTATCATGTTCTCTATGCCTACCCTGTTGATGAACCGCGCCGCGATGCCGATCCTGTCCAGGGTGATGGTGAGATCCAGCATGTAGAGGCCGTCGGGGTCGGGCTTTGTGATGAACGGCTTCATGAACTTGGTCTTTACCGGTGTGCCGACCCTGATGCCCGTGGTGAGGATCCTCTTTCTTATCTCAGTAAACTCCTGCTGCTGGCTCATGTTTGATCTCTGATTCTTGCCATACCACATATTAAGTCATGCTCCTCGAGCCGCAGCAGCTCGTTGAGCTTGGCCACCCGCTCGCCGCCCACTATGCCCACCTTGAGGAGCTTGGATCCCGTGGCTATGCCGATGTGGGAGATCTGGCTGTCAGTGGACTCGCCGGACCTGTGGGACGTGATCAGCGATATGCCGTTCCGGTCTGCCAGCCGGGCAAACTCCATGGCATCCTGCAGGCTGCCTGCCTGGTTCACCTTCAGGATGGCGGCGTTGCAGGAGCCGCAGTCTATGGCCCTCTGCAGTATCGTGGCATTGGTCACCGTGAGGTCGTCGCCGGTTATCATGACGCCGGGGAACCTCCTGGCAAGCTCGGACATCTGCTCGAACGCCTCCTCGTGCACTGCGTCCTCTGCGTATGCCAGCTTGTACTTCTTTATTATATCCGAGGCAAACTCGATCTGCTCTCCGACGTCGTTCTCAAAGCCGCCCCTCCTGTAGTCGTATGTATTGCCGTTCCACTGCGTGGATGCCGCAAAGTCCACGCCCAGGGAGACCTCCCTGCCGGGGGTGTATCCCAGCCTCTCGCATGCACGGGTTGCCATCTCCAGCGCCCCGTAGTTGTCCGTCTCCGGGGCCCATCCGCCCTCGTCCCCCCTGCCGCCGGAGAATCCCGGGTCGCGCTCCAGTATGACGCGCCCAAGCTCCCGGTGTATGGCAAGGTTTGTCTCCACCGCCTCCCGGACGGACTTTGCGCCCGTTGCGGCGATCAGGATCTCCTGGATGTCCGGAGTCCCGGGGCCCGCATGCGCGCCTCCTCCCAGTATGTTTCCCAGAGGGTAGGGGAACCAGAACGTGTCGGCGCCTGAGAGCAGCCTGAAGAGGGGCATGTCGTGCGCCCTTGCGGCCGAGTCTGCGGCAGCTATGGTGACGGCGTATGCCACAGAGCCGCCGATCATGCCATAGTCTGCCGAGCCGTCTATGGCGCGCACCGCAGCGTGGACCGACTCGAGATCCCCGGCGTCCAGCCCGACGAATTTCCCTGCGTTTACCCTTGAGAATCTCCAGGCTCTTTTCGGGCCCGCCTTCCGGAAAGCTTTGGGCCTCGTACTTTCCAACGCTTGCGCCCGACGGGGCGCACGCCCTTCCGAGGTGGGTGCCGTCTGACATGACGTCAACCTCGATGGTCTTGCTGCCGCGGCTGTTGTGTATGATGCGGCCCGTTATGGATGTGATCGAGGGCAACTCATTCAAGCTCGTGCTCGATCTCTAGGCGTCTCTTCTGAATCGCCTCGTAGAATGGGACAATCTGCTGTATGGTCTCCACGGTTGTGAGCAGCATGCGTCGGCAGCAGTACCTGCTGACTCCCAGCGAGTCCAGAACCGTTGCGGCGTCCTCGTCTGCGCTTACCCTGGCCTTGTAACTCTCAAACTTGTCTGCGATGAGGTTGCCGCAGGTAAAACATCTGACTGGAATTAGCACAGATTCGCAGGGTAATCAAGGATTATAAAAACCCTGCATGGATTGTTGGATGCGGGCGTCGCCCAGCCTGGCCAAAGGCGCTAGCTTGAGGGGCTAGTCTCTAAGGAGTTCGTGGGTTCAAATCCCATCGCCCGCACTACCTGCTTTATGGCTATGTGGTCGGTCTTGTGCGGGAATCCCATCTCCAGCACTACAATCAGCCGGAGATGCTTGTTTTTTGCAAGGCATGCCTAGGCATGCACTTGACCGCGCATCATCCAACTCAAGCTGTTAGCTGCAGCAGCTGTGTCTTGGGAGCAAACCGCAGGACGGCACGGGCATGCCGACTGGCGTCCCGTCTGACGACATCATGGAAGCTTGTTCAACCAAAGGTTGGATTGATCCTGCAATGACGGGCGGGCCGATCCGGGGAACGGCGACGGAAGGGCCATCCTTCCACGGGTATTTGGGAGAACAGCCTCCACTCCAGCAATGGCAGCCCTCCTGTCGCCAAGCTGACCATGCCCGTCTTGAATTCCGACACGCCGCATGTACGGGGGCAACGAACACCGCGCCGACACATTCACCAGCAACCCTCCCGCCCCCGGCCACCTCATTCCGTTATGGCAGGCCGTCTGGAAACATCTGGTGCTTCATCCCGTACACCCTGGCGTCGTGGACGCGCCCCTGAGAGTGCCTCGTGTTGCGGACGATCAGGCCGCCGGTGTTCACGGTATACTGAACCTTGATGGTGTACTCTCCTGCCTTGTCCGAACAGTGGTACTTTTCCATGCCATTCCACTTGGGCCTCGCACCTGCGACTCCGAGGTGTCGATGAGGCAGCGGAGCCCGGGGAGGATCTCCTCGGGCTCATCGAGGGTCGAGACCCTCCTCGCCTTGTCGTGGATCCTGGCGGGTATCGGAGTGCACTGACTGACGACCGGCGCGATCGGGACGATGGAGCGCGATACCGTGGCCTTGCCGACCCCGAAGATCTTGGTCGCCGCGTCCAGGGTGACGTACATCCGGTAGGAAAGCAGGAGAACAGCATCCTGTTGCGCAGGTCCGGTGCGAACCTGCGCCCCGTCGTGATTGCGCGCCTGCGGTGCCCCTTAGAGTCCCTCTCCGCCTCAGGGGCGCCCTCTCCACTTTTGCTAACAGCAAATCGAATTCCTGAGTGGACATGCTCACGGGGGTCTTGAAACGCCTGGCGTTTCCTGCCAGATTGGTATATGGTGGCATGGTGTACCGTGGGGGGTTCAATTTGATCGGGACACCTCCATTGAATCGCCTGCCTACAGCGAATTGGCTAATTAATGGCGAATCAAGTCCCCGGACGCCTGTCGCAGAGGGGAATTTCGTGGTATGAATAATAATGCGTCTGGCAATTCGGTGAACGGCGTGTTACGTTTTTGCCATTTCCGCAATTACTCGCGAAATCTCATCCTTGCCTATGCCTATTGCCTGGGAAACCAAACCGTAATCATGATCGGTGAATCTGGAAACCGTTGAAGAGACTTTTTCAGGATCAGTAATCATGTGAATGCATTGCTTTAGATCTGAGAATTCCGTATCGGAATACCACATAAGAGAATAGATGTCGGCTATGTCCTTGATCCTCTTGTCCTCTTTGGATCTGTTCAGGACAGAGTTCATCTTCATGGAAACCAATACATCCGGATGTGGCATCATTGTCTCTTTTCCAAAGTATCCTGACATGACAAACCGATTGCCTGAAAAAACGTTTGTAAGCAGCGGTTCATCGATCGGATCTAATCCGAAGAGTTCCTTTGTTCTTGGGTGGATTTTGTCAACGATCAGGTCAACGAACAAATCGAACATCCCGTATTTGGGACGCTTTTTGGATTCATCTTCTGCCAAAGGTTTTGTACTTTCAAGATCATGGTGTTGCACAAAACGCGATCCTACTCCATAGTACCCCATATCTTTTAAGATTTCAATCGACTTGGGAAACGCGGATCCTTGCAATTGCTCATCGGGCCAAGTTTCATCCACGTGAAAGCCAAGATCGATGTCTCTCGAACCGATGTAATTCCTTCCCTGCTCTGCGCTGAAGTTCTGGTTTACTGTAGCATAAACTGCCCACCCACCCAGCAAGCATACGGGCCCCTTGACGCTTGAAACGACGGTTGACAGGTTCGATTTTGAGATTTCCATCTCATTTTCTGTGTACACGCCGCCCTTCCTTCTTTTCTATCAGCATCTCCGCCGCCTCGACACACGGCCCGCCTTCCATCAAGAGATCTACCGCCAGCTGCGGGATCGACACCGTCTTGAGTCCTTCGTATTCAGACGAGTTGTGAAAGACATGCGGATCCCCGATTAGGACCCTCGTATTTCCTTTTCCGACAAGGCCTTTCCGTGACAGGATGTCGTGCCACCTTGCTTTGTCTTTCGGATCGATGTAAAAGTCTATCCTGGATGGGAAGAGGTATTTCTGCATCAGGTTTTCGGCAGCATACGTGGTAAGTGCGTACTCCATCTCTGCAGATTTGAGAAGCTCGAGTGGGTTTTTTACCATGTATTCTCTCTTTTCGGGGATCGTTTGAAGGTCTCTCCAGAGTAAGACGAGGTTCTTGAAATTTACCACCTTGGTTTTTTTTACCAAACCCTTGTTTTCTAGATCCTTGAGACACTCATGAGCCCAAGGATATGCTGCTTCTGCCGATTTTGCCACCCTGTATTTTGTAAGGTCGCCGCTAGGATTGTTCAGCAGTGTTCGGAATATCCTTTCTCTTACGAGTCCTCTTTTTTTAGGCATCTTCACATGTATTGGTGTGTCTTAAATAACTCATCCACTACCGATATATCGGTAACGTGTTAAATATTTAAGTTTAACCGATATATCGGCTGTGTCCCAGGGATATATAATCTTCAGGCAGCAAAGCATATTGATCCGCTGATCGCGGCCCCGCGTAGTGACATCAAAGAAACGCGATCAATGACAGTACGACTTGGTTCAGCAGTACCTGCTCAGCCTCATCCTGAATACGATACTGGAGATTGTGCAGGATCTGGACGATCCGTACCGCGTCAAACCCGGACTTGGCGGAATGACGGCATATTCACCTAGGGCCATGGCAGTCACCTGCATCATCATGGAGGCCGGGCGCAAGACATACCGCAAGATAGTTGGCCATCTCCGAAACAACCACGATATAGTCATGAAGACAAGACTGCGCAATATTCCCTCCAAGAGCGCCATCGCCCGCGCCTACGGCCTCATTCCGGACTGGTACCTGATGGAGGTGCACCACAGGGTAATCCAGGACATGGCCGCAGGCCCGGTGGCAGGGGCCAGCGCCGGATACTCTGACAGCAGACTCGTTAGGTGGTACGACGTGCGGACGGACAGCATCAGAACTAAGAAGGGATGGGTCAATCTGTACAGCATGATCGACATACCCCTCGGGTGGTGCTGGACTATCTGGTGACGGACAGGAATGTGGGTGACATCGCGGGACTACGGACCATGCTGGAGAGTTTTGGGGGGAGGCACGGACAACTTCTGCCTGGATTCGGCCTACTTGGCTAGGGAGATATGCAATGCGATATCCGGCCGGGGCATGGTGCCGCGCATCTGGCAAGTCCAACACGATCCACAACGCACTGGGCAGCCAGTCGTGGCGTGGCATGGTTGACCTTTACACGGACGATCTTGCCACGTTCAAATCCGAGTACCATCAGCGGAGCATCATAGAGGCGGTATTCGGCGCCATCAAGAAGATGTATGGAAACGACACCGGGTGCCACAAGCCGGAGAACCAGGGCAGGGAGATTGCGATGCGGATAATATGCTACAACATCGAACTCGTGGCCCGATCGCAGGTAAAAGGCGGCAGGCTCACACCGAAGCTGATCGCAACCATGACAGCACAGCCGGCGCGGCTGCAACCGCACCATGCCTAGCGGAGCCTGCGCATCATGTCACGGAACAAGTGAATTTTATGGTTTCCGGATGAACAAAAGCCAAGCACGCTCGCAGACGTTCGTAAATTCCAAGCCTGCCCAATGTTTCAGGCGTCAGGCATAGAAGAGGGGTTATTGTCTATAGGACACAGCCCGATATATCGGCACTTGGAGAAGTACTGATATCCTCAATCTCGGGAGTTGCACGACATGCCGATGGTGCAAGCTGACAATAGACATCGTGCACACATCCACGCGTGTACGTGTTTGAATCATGTACTTGCACAGATACGGAAGGCGCACAACATCCTGCAAGATCATGCTTGAGGTGAGTGCCTCCGCGTTGGATCGTCCCGTCAGGCACGGTTCCGATGGCGCGCCGGAGCATTATTCCCTACATGTAAACTGATAATCCAAATGTGGCATCGCAGGCTACTTGCCCATGGCCCGGATGAGGTCAGATCGGCGGATCTCCTCCGTGACTGCCGCGCGGGTGCCCTCCAGGAGCGACCTGTTAACGTCCAGCTTTCTCCTGACGTCCCTTAGCACCTTGTCGTACGTGGCAAAGGGGTACAGCATGTTGTAGATCTCCTCCATGGTGGAGAAGGTTCTCTCAGCCTTCTCGGCCCTACCGCGGCGGATCATGTCGTATGTCATGCGCTTGAGCTCCCCTATGCAGTCCAGGAGGCCCAGAATGTACGACTCGCCGGAGACCTTTAGCTCCCTGTGGTCCGGCACCGGCCTGTCCTCTGCCAGCGCAATCAGGCAGAGCGCCTCGACCAGCTCCTGCTCAGGCACTGCCAGGTATCTTGACAGGGCACCACTCGTCCCCTCCCGGTACGACTCCAGGAGATCCTGGGCCTTGCCGGCCTTGGACTTTGCCGCCTCTAGGTCGCCCCCGTGCACCGCGATTATGGCCTGGCTGCAGAGTATGACCACGTCCCGGGTGCCCCTGATGAGGCGCTCCCGGGACTCGTGCGCCTCCTTTAGGCCTTCCTCTATCGTTTCAAGTGATGATCTGATGCCTTCCAATAACATGCTGCTTGTAGTGTGTCGCGTTCCGTGATAAAGCCGTTTTGCCTAGCTTGGGTGTTTGGTTATAATTCAACACTTACAGATGCTCAGCTGTGTCTTGACAGTCCATTCGCATCCGGTTTGAGACTAGTGTGGCTTGTCTGTTAGGCTGGCGCATTTGACACTTGGAAAGGTGGCATCTGACATACGTGATCGCTTACAGCGACGACGTTTTCAAACCTCTGTGAAGTGATATTGGGTTGTGCCAGTGTACAGATGCATTTTTTGGGTTTCCTTGTACCAGATCGCCGTTATGGTGTTGTTTTTTTTTAAGAGCATGAAAATTCAACAGTATCCCAATTACGCATAAGATCTAGCAACTCTTATTTTATGCGCAAGATCTCGCACAATTGATGGAGATATCAGTCAGGCAGATGTATGACATAGAGGAGAACGGCCACAAGATGGGCTTTCTCAAAAAGTTCATGATGGAGAATGCGGGCGCCGCCGCCGTGCGCAGACTGTGTGAGAGAGTGCCGGATATCGCCTCAAAGGAGGTGCTGATCCTTTCTGGAATGGGAAACAACGGCGGCGACGGCCTGGTGATGGCAAGGCACCTGGCGGGGCACGGGGCCCGGGTCACGGTGATACTGCTGGGCACCCACGACAGGATAAGGACCGAGGAGAGCAGCTGGAACTGGTCCATACTCAAAAAGATGCCTTCGGTAAGGCTGATGGAGGGATGTGACTCCTACCCAAGACCGGACGTGATGATCGACGCCGTCTTGGGCACCGGGATTGCAGGCGACATAAGGGAGCCCTATGCGTCGGCCATCCGGCACATCAATGGCACCGAATGCTTTACGATGGCAGTCGATGTGCCATCGGGCCTGAACCCAGAGACCGGCCTGGCGGCGACCCCGTCCGTCCGGGCCGACGTCACCGTCACCTTTCACAAGATGAAGCGGGGAATCCCACAGAGACCTGATCTGACAGGACGCGTGTACGTGGAAAAGATCGGGATACCGCCCGAGGCCGAGGAGGGAGTCCTGTGAAGGTTCACCAGATACAGGTGGGCGGCATGCTCAACTTCACATACGTCATTGAGGACGAGAAGACCGGCCAGGCGATCCTGCTGGATCCCTCCTGGGATCTGGACAAGGTAAAGGAGGTCATAACCCGCAACTCCCTGGAGATAAAATACATCATAAACACGCACCACCACTTTGACCACACCATGGGAAACGAGACCATGGCAAGGCACACGGGCGCAAAGATAGTGCAGCACGAGGAGTCGGAGCTGCACCACGACATGGCGGTAAAAGACGGCGATACCATACAGTTTGGCGACTCGCAGCTTCTTGTGCACCACACGCCGGGCCACTCCCGGGACAGCATCTGCCTGACAGGCGACGGCAAGATCTTCTCCGGCGACACCCTCTTTGTGGGCAACTGCGGACGGGTGGATCTTCCCGGCGGCAGCGCGCAGGAGCTCTACCACAGCCTCTTTGGCGTGCTGTACGCAATGCCCGACGATCTGGAGCTCTTCCCGGGCCACAACTACGGCTCTGTCGAGACCTCGACACTGGGCCGGGAGAAGAGGGTGAACCCCGTGATGCGGCGCATACCGGAGCAAGAGTTCGTATCCATGATGGGGCAGTAGCCTTGGAGGGAATCAGGGCCTACGGCGCAGAAGAGTTTGCCAAAAGCCTGGAGGGGAAGCGGTTTCTGTTCTCCCTTGTCATGTCGTACACCCGTACCTGCGAGATACCCGGCATCACCGTTGCCGGCGCAAACCCGGACATGCTAAAGTTCACGCCGCCGGCAGACGCAGAGTTCATCCGCTACGGGCGCTGCAGGTGCATCGACGCCATACCAATGACGCCAGACGGCAAGCCCACGCCGGCGCTCTTCACCCGCGTGGCGCTAAACGCAGCCGACATCCCCTTTGTCGCAATAGACGCAGGCGGCGTCATAGAGCCGCAGATGCCCTTCATTCAGACAGGACTCAAACCGGGCGGAGACATCTCCCGGGAGCCGGCAATGTCCAAACCCTCCCTCCTGAGGGCCATAGAGTACGGCAAGGCGACGGGCCAGATGCTGGCGCCGCTGACTGACTGCCTGGTGATAGGGGAGAGCCTTCCGGGGGGGACCACCACGGCGCAGGCGGTGATGAGGGGACTGGGAATCGACGCCCGGTCAAGCTCCAGCATGCCCAAAAACCCCGTGTCCCTGAAGGAGAAGGTCGCAGCGGCCGCGCTGGACAGGCTGCATTCCAGCGACCCGCAAGACATAATATCACAGCTGGCAGACCCCATGATCCCGTTTGTTGCTGGCATGCTCTCATCGGCATCCCGGACCGCCCGCGTCATGCTTGCCGGGGGAACGCAGATGGCAGCCGTTCTGGCAGTCGCCAGATCCCTGAACCTTGGGATAAGGAGCACCGCCATAGGGACCACCAGGTACATCACAGACGACAGGACCGCCAACCTCCTGGACATGGCAGACGTGCCCGTGCTGGCAGTGGACCCAGGCGTCTCAGGCTCCCACATAGGCGGGCTCCGGGCGTTCTCCGAGGGCTTCGCCAAGGAGGGCGCCGGCGCCGGCGGCAGCATGATATCTGCCGTCCTCAAGGCGGGCATCACAACATCACGCCTGCGCACCCTCGCAGAGGCCGAGTACGCCCGGATATCTACCTGACGGTGACTGACTTTGCAAGGTTTCTGGGCCGGTCGGGGTTCGTATCCCTCTCCAGGGCGGTATAGTACGAGAGCAGCTGAATCGGGACTATCTCCACTATGGGGTATATGGACTCGTGCAGCTTTGGAATCCGGATCCAGTGATCGTACAGATCGCTGGGGCGGTCCGATACGCCGATTATCCTGGCGCCCCGGGCCTTGATCTCGCTTGTGCTGTTTATCATGTCCTGGTATGTCTCGTCATCTGGATTTATCACGATTACATGCGTGCCGGGGCCCATCAGTGCCAGCGGCCCGTGCTTGAGCTCGCCACCGGGAATGCCCTCGGCATGTATGTAGGAGAGCTCCTTGAGCTTCAGGGCGGCCTCGGCGGCGATCGGGTGGTGGACGCCCCTTCCCAGCACGTAGATGTCTGATGAGTCCCTAAGCTCCGAGGCAATCTTCCTTATCTTGTGATAGTCTGCCAGTATGCCGCTTATGGCATGGGATATCTCCCCAAAGTCCACCTTCAGGCACCCGTGGCACAGCCTGTCGACGATCTGGTATATGACCGCCAGCTGCGCGGTGAAACTCTTGGTGGCCGCCACGCCGATCTCGGGCCCGCAGTTCATGGCCAGCACCTGCGACGACTCCTGCGCCAGGGACGAGAGGAGCATGTTGACGATGGAGATGACTCTGGCGCCCGACCCCTTTGCTATGCGCACAGCCTCCAAGACGTCGGCGCTCTCGCCGCTCTGGGATATTGCGATCAGCACCGAGCCCGGATCGATGGATCCTGGCGTAAACGGCATCTCGCTGGATATTATGGGCTCAAGCCGCACCCCTGCATACTTTGAGAGCAGGTATCTTGCCACCAAGGCGGCATTGTAGCTGGTGCCGCTGCCTGTTATGTATGCGGACCCGGCATCCCGGATTAAGGTGGCGGCATGCTCTATGGCGTCTGCGGCCCCCTCGCCGGACCGGAGCCCGTGTCTGGCTGCTCGGATATCTCCTTTTGCGTAAAGTGGGCAAACTCGCCCCTGTACACGTCGGCAAACTCCTTTGAGACCTTGGTCAGCGGCCTCCTGACCCGGTTCCCCTCAAAGTCGTAGATGTCCAGACCCGCGTCCCCGATGACTGCCACGTCCCCGCTGTCCATGTATATGGCGTCATCGGTCTTCTCGATGAATCCCAATACGTCGCTTGACAGAAAGTGCGCGCCGCCCCTGACACCTATGATCAGCGGCACGTGAAGCCTGGCGGCTGCCAGCGTGCCGTCCTCAAACATGGCCACAAACGCATAGTCGCCACGTATCCTGCGCACGGTCCTGAGCACGGCCTCCAGGATGTCGCCCGCATCGTCATAGTTCTTCTGGAGCAGGTTTGCCAGCACCTCGGTGTCAGTCTCCGACTCGAATGTAAACCCGCAGGACAGCAGCTCCTCCTTGAGCTCCTTGTGGTTCTCGACTATGCCGTTGTGCACCAAGGCCAGGCCGCCGGTGCTGCTAGAGTGAGGGTGCGCGTTGATATCCGTTATGCCACCGTGGGACGCCCATCGGGTGTGGCCTATTCCGATGGTGCCTTTCATCGAGTCCAGCCCGACGGACTCGTTTACGGCGGACACCCCGCCGACGCCCTTCCTTACCTGAATCCTGCCCCGGCTCCGGGTGGCCACGCCGACGCTGTCGTACCCGCGATACTCCATGCGCTTCAGTCCGTGCACCAGGATGGGGGCCGCGACGCCGCGCCCGCGATAGCCGATTATCGAACACATATGCCTACTTTATCCAGTACTGGCATATTTACAGATACTTGCGCGGTTACGGGGAATTATATACATGAGTACGCAGTACCCTGCCTTTTTGTGGCGCTCTTGCAATCCCTCCCACGCGTGGCTCTTGCGTGTTGTTTGCGGAGCGTCCGGAAGCAATCCCGGCCTGGAATCTTACGCCTTTGGACGACGATCCCCGCCGCCCTGCCGCCATGGCTGTCGCCTTGGAGGCAATGTTATGCGCCGCGTTTATGTCGGCGTTGATGTCATTGTCACACTTGTCATTGGTGCAGTGGAACTTTCCCTGCGATATGCGGGAGTCCCTGTCTTTGTGGCCGCACATGTGGCATGTGATGCTCGTGCCACTTGGGTCGACCGTGATGACCGCAACGCCCATGTTTTCGCATGTCTGCTCAATCTGGCTCAGGAACGTCCTCGGGCGCGAGTATGCCATCTCGCGGTTGAGGCCGGTCTTGGCGGAGCTTCCCTTGCCTTTGCCCCTGGCCGTCATGTTCCTGACGTTCAGGTCCTCGATGACAACCGTGCCGGCGCCGTCGGCTATCCTCTTGGACGCGTGTCGCTCCCAGTTGGTCTGCTTGTTGGCAATCTTCTCACGCTTCTTGCGGATCCTCCTTTGCAGATCCTTGTAGCTGCGGGACTTGGGGTTCCTGGACCTATTCCTGTTGCTGCCGTTCGTGTTTTTGCCCCCGTCGTTTGCGCCACCATTGCGAGCCTTGATCCTCCTGCTGCCGCTGCCTCCCCCCTTTCGTGAGAGCTCCGCATACATCTTCGATATGTCGTCGTTCTTCGTCCTCTTGCTGCAGTCCGGGATGTCGTGGAACTCGGCGTAGCCGGTATCAAGGTCGACGGTGGTGGCGTTGTGAACTATGCCCATGTCGACCCCCCTGATGACATCTGACGTTTCGGGCTTTGGCGCCTCCATCCCGACCTGTATGTGAAGCCTGTACGTCCTGTTGTGTTTTTCGGTGAGCCTAGTGGTCTTCTTGGTCGTCTCCACCAACTGGAAGGATCGCATGTCCAATCCCTCAACGTCATCATGCACCTTCACGGTACCGATGCCGGGAAGCATCACCATGCCGTTGCCCTTGGACACCGGCTTCTCGAACACGGAGAGGGACCGCATTTTTCCCTTCCTCTTGAACAGGTCGCCCCTGTGGCTCCACTTGTTCTTTTTGTTGCTCCATTTGTTGGATGGTAAATTTGCCGCCGTGTCAACATCCTCAACTCCCTCCTTTTCCCTGTAGCGCCTGGCCAGGTGTTTCCACAGTGCGTTGTTGCGGCGCTTTTTCCCGTTGGATTCTATGAACTTCTTTACCGCGTCCAGGCCCTGGCGGAGCCCTACCCTCTGAACCCTGCTGTCGCAGGCCTCCCTGATCCCGGCAGTCCGCGCATAGTCATCATGGACCAGCCACGCCTTCGCGTTCCTCCATTTCGTGAGCATCCTGCAGAGGTCATAGAATGTTACGTCAGGGCTTCTGAGCGCCTCCTGGACGGCCATGTTGAACGCCCACCTCTGTTGATCCATGTGACGCGATATGAGGACGGAAAGATCACCGGACTGGTCAAAGTCCGCCTTTATGGTGCGGATCATCGTGTCTGGCGTAGCCGCCGTGGCGGATTTCGCTTTCGCTTCTGGCTCTGGCGCGGCTGCCGTTGCCACCATATCGATTGATTTCATTACCGCATTCAATATTCCACACCGCATAAAAGCGCCGATGCAACACTGTCATTAGTATGCAGACCATGCAGACTGTCAATACCGTAATGGCCATTTTTGCCACTGGTCGGGCGCGAGACTCCGGCGCGGGATTGCTCCCGCGCGTTCCGTGAATCAAACGCGAGAACCAAGCGTTGGAGGGATTGCAAGAGCGCCACAAAAAGGCAGGGGTACTGCGTACTCCTGTATATAATTCCCCGGTTACGCCTCTACGATTGCCACGTCGGGCACAGGCGCCTCTTCTGCGGGAGCCTTCTTTAGGATGTCGCCAAACGACGAGCCCGGCGTAAGCCCGATCCCGTCCTCCTCCGCCACTGTCACGATATACGATGGAATGTCAATTACCCTGTCCCCGATTGATATGTGCCCGTGCACCACGGCCTGCCGTGCCTGGTATGCCGTCTTGAAGCCCATCCTCTTTACGATTATGGTCTGCAGCCTCCTCTGCAGCAGGTCGGTCACCTGCAGGTTCAGCACGTCATCCAGCGTTGACTCGGCCTGTATGAGGCCTATGCGCGCAAGCGAGCTGAGCAGTATCGGCTCCCGTTCCTGCCTCTCCTCCTGCCTCAGCGCTAGGAGAGCGCGGGCCTGCTTTCTTAACCTTGAGAGCTCGGTGTGCGTCTTCCAGAGCTCCCTCTTGGTTCTGAGCCCAAAGTTGCCCAAGGTCTTGAGCTCCTCTACCTTTAGATCATAATTGAGCGGGCGCTTTGGCTTTCTCCAGTTCTTTCTTGGCAGCTTTGGATCTCCCATGGTATCACCCTATTTGGATCCCCCGGACTTTGCCGGTTGAATCTTTCCGCCCTTGGCCACCCCGACGGCTCCGCCTCTCCTTCCGGCGGTGCGGGTGCGCTGGCCCCTTACCTTGAGGCCGTACATGTGGCGGTAGCCCCTCCAGCTGCCGCTGATCCTCTCCCTCTCCACGTCATTGCGTATGGTAAACTCGATATCGGAGTTGAAGATGTGCTTGTTCTCCCCGGTCTCCGCATCCTTGCGCCTGTTGAGGAACCATGTGGGAATGTCGGCAGCCTTAGGATCCTGCAGGATCTTCTCGATGGACTCCACCTGCGGCTCGGTCAGGTATCCGATGTGCGAGCTGGGGTGTATGCCGGTCATATCAAGGATCGCTGTGGAAAAGCTGCGGCCCACGCCGCGGATCTGGGTCATGCCCACAAGTATTGTCTTGTCTCCGGGGATGTCATTGCCGAGAATCCTCACTATATGTCTGTACTCCTGGTCGGCCAAGTATGCAAAATTCAAGATATCCCTGATAAAAACCATTGCTGGGGCAGTCGCGATCGGGCTCCTGCCTGCCGCGCCCCGATATGGGCCCGGATCCCGCACGGCAACCCGGACGGATGTGGCAGCGGGGCCCGACTCAGCTGCGTGTGGCCGGTATGGCCAGGCGTGGTGTCGGCCCTCATCTTACCTGCGCGCCTAAACCCGGAGCGGCCGTGAAGGAGTCATTTCAGGAACATCCGTCCGTCGTTCTTTGTCCAGAGCCACTCGTCCTCTGGGTTGTGGTTCTCGATCTCCTGGAGGATGCCCTTGATTTTGGCGCTGATGTTGTCTATGTGGTGCAGCGCCACGGCCTCTGCAAACTTGGGCACTACCGGGGAGCCCCATTCCCGCTTGCCGTGGTGGCTCAGTATCATGTGGAGGATCTTCTGGCGCAGAATCTCCGGAGTGCCCAACCTCTCCATCCTGTCGGCGACCATCTTGTAGCCTATGCTGATGTGGCCCAGCAGCTCCCCCTCCCTGGTAAAGCCAATGGTGGCCCCGATCTTGTATTCTACAACCTTCCCGATGTCGTGAAGGATGCACCCGGCAACAAGCAGACCGCGATCCAGTTCCGGATGAACAGCGACCACGCCGTTGGCCAAGTGCACCATGTCAAGCACATGCTCCAAGAGCCCGCCCGCATAGTTGTGATGGTGTATTATTGCAGCAGGGGCCTGCGCATACCTGTTGAAGAACTCTGCATCCTCGACAAAGCTCGCCAGTAGCCTGTTCAGGTCGTGGTTGCCGATCTCCACAATAACCGATACAAGCTCTTTCTTCATCTCTTCAATGTCCCTAGTGGATGTCTTGAGAAAGTCCTTGGCGTCGTGCCCGCCCGATTTTGAGATTCTTCCAGCCGGGGGATTGATTGAAATCTGCGGCTTGTTCAGATATGAGCTGACTCTTCCATTGATGACTTCGACGACATCCCCTTCGTCAAACGAGCGGTACACCTGGTTTACCTCCGTCTCGTTGCTTCCGCCCCAGTACTTGAGTTCGATCTCGCCCGTCCTGTCAGAGATATTTAGTACAAACGAGTATCCGTTCTTGTATGTTCGTGGAGCCTCCTTCTTTGTTACGCCAAAATGGGAATACACACGATCCCCGTCCCTTAGATCGCCAACAAACTGCTTTTTCATGATGTGGCTTGGCCTCTCTGATTTATTTTATTATCGGTTTGTGTGCGTGGATGCCTGCCTGCCAAGTCAGGCGCAGAGGTCTGCCAAGGCAAAGCGGAGCTGGCCCCCCCAGCCCATGGAATGCTAATAAATCCCCGTATGCCATACCGAACAGTTGCCCGAAAATCACAGGAGTATAGTTGAGCAGAGCTACTCGTCTGCGCCCGCATACAAGGAGGTCATGGCGGGGCAGCCGGAGAACTACCGGGTGATCAAGACCCTGGGGGACCTGCTGTCGGCAAACTACAAGGTGGTGGACTCTAGGGAACAGATGCGCAACAACCTGGCGTCCCTCCTGGGGTCGGGCCGGCAGGCATTCCCCGGGATTGTGGGGTACGACGACGACGTGCTGCCAGCATGTGCCGATCCATCCTGGCAGGCCACGACATGCTCCTGATCGGGCAGATGGGGCAGGCCAAGACGCGGCTTGTGCAGACGGCAGCCGAGACGCTGCTCTCGCCCATGCCAGTCATTAGGCAGGGCCTCACCAACGACTGTCCCATGGACCTGCCGGCACCGGAGCTGATCGCCCTGCTTGACGATACGGCACCCGAGAGGCCGAGCCCGAACTTCTTCATAAGCCCAGAGAGCGCGTCTGCGATCCGCGACAACGGGCTTGACACCCGCATATCCTGGGCAGACGGCTCCTCCAGGTTCCGGTACGTTCTGGCCACGCCGGACATATCGGTAAAGGACCTGGTGGGCTACATCGACGCCATAAAGATCGCCAAGCAGGGAACAGAGATGTACAAGATCGAGTCCTACTCCCCCGGCCAGCTCATGCAGGCAAAGCACGGCGTTATATGCATCGACGAGCTGCCGGTGCTGGATCCGAGAAAGCAGGTGGCGCTGCTCTCCGTACTGCAGGAGGGCCATTTCACCACCGGGGCGTATCCGGTAGTCTTTGAGCCCAGGACGGTCTTCTTTGCGACCGCCAACCCCGTGGACTATACCCACTCCGGCAAGGTGATCGAGCCGCTCTACGACAGGCTGAAGAGCCACATCCACACGCACTATCCGGGCACCGTGGAGGACGAGATGATGATAATCATGCAGGAGGCGCAGATATCGCAGGCGCTCGTCCCGGCCGCTGTGCTGCGCATGCTGGCGCAGGTGGTCCACAAGATGCGCGCGTCCCAGCAGATAAACCAGGAGCGGGGGGTGAGCGTAAGGCTGGGGATTCACGGCCTGGAGCTCCTGGCAGGCGAGGCCCACAGGTGCCGTGCGCCGCCACCCGGCGCCCCGCTGGTTCCGCGCCCCGCAGACATGTACTGCCTGGAGCAGGTGGCAAAGTTCGAGCTGACGGATCTTGACGACGGCATATCTGCCAGACGCCAGGTCTTCTCTGACCTGCTGGCAGAGTCGATGCGGGACGCCTGCCTTGAGGTTCTCTCGGGAGCGGAGAAGGCCCAGCTCGAGTCCGTCGGCGCAGAGTTTGCGGACAGGACCTTTCACGTGTCACAGCAGATGCGGTGGAGCGGCGCCGCGTCCTACGAGTCCCAGCTGGCAGACTTTGGGGCGCTGCGTAGCCTGGTGCACTCGTGCAGGGACGCCTTTGTGTCATACCAGGAGGATACGGCCGCAAGGGCCGCAAGGCACGGCATAGGGGGCGATCCGCTTGCCTTTCCTCCCGAGTGCCAGTCCGAGCTGCTTTCTGTGCTTGTGGAGATGGTGCTTGAGGGCCTCCGCTGGTCGACGCCCAAGATTCTGGAGAGAAGGGATGCCGGATACGTCTCGGCCTAGAGTGAAGAACCTGGTGTACTTTGCCAGTGGTAGAAAGGCGCAGCCAAAGCAGGGCCCTTCCCAGGAGGAGCTCCGCCACATACTTGAGACCGTGGGGACGGCAGGCCGTCAGGGAGCGGGCACCGAACCTGAAGGAGCTGGAGTCGATACTGCAGGACTCGCTCCGCCGGTTCCAGGACGGGCAGGAGGCCGAGTCCCGGGAGCTGGATCACGGCGACGGCTCGGCCTCGATCACAAAGATGCTCCAGGACCGCGGCTACCTCCGGAACAAGAAAAAGTGGCTTACCGACGCGGGGTTCCTCCTCATCGGCTCCAAGATACTCAGGGACGCCCTGAGGGACATGGGCGCAGGGGATCCTGGCCTGCACGAGACCAGGTTCCGCGGCGACGGCGACACCACCATCGACACCACGAAGAGGTTCGAGCCCGGCGACAACATCGCGCACCTGAACGTGCCCACAACCCTGCTCAACTCCGTCCTGCGGCTGGAGAGGGGGCGCGGCCGGGTGGACTTTCCAGTGGAGATCCTGCCGGAGGACCTGGAGGAGTCCGAGCGGCTGGATGACGTCAGGACCGCCATCGTGTACTGCATCGACCTCAGCTCCACCATGCGGTACAACCTGGCCGACGGCATGAGCAGGATCGAGGCCGCCAAGAGGGCGCTCTGGAGCCTGTATGCCATGAACAGGAGGTTCTTTCCCAGCGACTCGGTCTCTGTAGTAGGGCTTTGCGTCGATGGCATCTGTGGTGAAACCCCAGGACATCCCGTACCTCAAGACGTATGATGCCGGTGACGGCTTTCTCCACTATACCAACTACCAGGGCGCCCTGCAACTTGCAGGCAGGATACTCCGCAGGACGGCCGCCCGGAACAGGAGAATCGTCCTGATAACCGACGGGCAGCCGTCGGCGTGCTTTGTGGAGAACGAGCAGCAGAAGAGCGCGATAGTGTCCGAGAAGCCCTACTCGAACTTTTACTCTGTTGATGGCGCCCTGCTGGCCAAGGTCAGGCGCGAGAAGGACATAAGGCTGGATGCCCGCCCCGGCAGGCTGGTGTACCTCTGCTACAGGTACAGGAAGGTGGATGCCCGCATAAGCCACCAAACGCTGCAGGAGGCCAAGAGGTGCCTGGGGGAGGGCATCAGCATCGACTCCATAGTGATCAGCGACGAGACCGAGCTGCTGGACTACATCCGGGGGTTTGAGGCGGCCCTCCACGGCAGGACGTACCACATCCAGGACTCCGGCATGAGCCGGATCCTGATCGCAGACTATATCTCCAACACCAGAAGAATTTTAAGATCCACGCAGAACCTGTGACATATGGAATACGACGCAGAGAAGATCGTGGCGTGCATGTTTGATCCCGTCACCTCTGAGATAATGGCCATGCTGGAGCACGGCCCCAGAGCGCTGTCGCAGCTGGCAGAGGACTCGGGGGTGTCCTCTGATGCGGTGCTTGAGCAGCTCTCATACCTTGTGCAGCACGGCTTTGTCATCAAGACCGTGGAGGGTTCGGCCGTCATGATATCTGCAGATGCAGAGAAGCTC